GGACTACAGATATGAGTAACTCCACTCAGCCAACTAGAAGTAAGAAAAAGAAATCTGATTAGAGATAGTTCTGTTATCAAGTTTCCCCTATGTGATCCCTCAGATACATYTCCAATCAGTGTGCATTAACCTGGACAAACACTTACACTCCAACTAATGGCAGAGAATAAGCCTTGGGATCAGACTCCAGCAGCAAAAGCAATTTCCGTGTCTGGTCCATAGTAAGGTAGCTGAAAGAAAGCAAAAGTTGGATTTTTTTGTTATTTTGGAAGACAGTTTTTCAGAAAAGAAATCCTGAAGAGACAAACACAAGTTTGGAAGATACTGCAGGAAAATTARTTTTGGAGAAAAAAGAAAAATCAAAATACCCTTACTCTATACAGTTACAGYAACTCCTCAGCTTTTCATCAATTCCCTGTGTATCAAACAATTATCAAGAACAAAATTTACTTAGTACTAATTCTAGTATTTTAGTGAATTCTAGTRTTCAGTATCTAGTATTTAGTATTAGTATTCATAACAAATCCAGAAGTGCAAGTCATGTYAAATTTGAAGAATAACTTTCAGAGAGGCATTCATAAAGTCTCCCTGCAAATAAAATGACTCCCACATTCTCCAATTATTTCCCTAATCTATCCTTAGTTCATCTTATTAAATTAATTACYAGTCAGAATGATGACTCCCCAATACCATCTCAGAAGCACGATTTACAAAAAAAAACAAAAAACAAAAAGCTTTAGTTTGCATTAATTTGATTTTTATTGTAGGGCAAGCACTGATGTTGTTTAAAAAGCTGGAAGCTATTTATATTTATTATGTTAACTGGAGGTGTGTTTCCTTGCCCCASTAGRAAGATCCTTTAACTGATGCCAAAAGCAAAATGACTCCTACTGAACCAGTTAATGTTTTTGCTCCACCCCATTTCCTGTTTACTGTTCACAACTTTTTATATTTTTCCAAGACCAGAAGTTTTGTTATTTTTATACCAGTTATTTTGCTAAAAAGGACGGTTGAGATCTCTCCTACCTACCTCCTTTTAGCAAAGGAACAAACTGCCAAGCAAMTGTGACACCACTCTTTACTTACCCACATTTGTAAGTTCCTTGAACTTGAGCAATATTCATAGGACTGCTCAAATTTCTTGCTAGGGCTGTTGGAATAATTGGGACAGACTTCACAGGGGTGTATTCCAAAATATTTGCCACAGTAAGAGAAGCCCAGCGAAAACTAAAGTGTAGATTATCCAGGTTTTCTGTGAAAAAAAYGTGAGCTCTAACAGTGAGCAGTTTAGAAAGATCCAGTGCTTCTTTACTGCACAGACTCTGATGCAGACCCTAGAAGAAAGAAAAAAAATGTTAAATATACTAACTTCTTTTCATATGATTACCATGATTCAAGATGTATTACACTAGGAACTCAATCATTCAACTGCTACAGCTACTATTGCAATAGGCACTTTACAAAAAGCCATTAACCCAGGTCTTCAAAGCTCACTGCACTACTGAATATAATGAATTATGTAGAATACACTTGAAAATTAGCTCCATGCACCTCAGTATTGTTTTATGATGTATAAGAAAACCCAAGGTTACTTCAATTATGTAAAAATTATTATATTAATAGACAACTAAAAGGCTCAGGCTCATCTTTCAAAGTTTTCWTACTTGCAGCCAAGAAATTTGTAATTTAACACCTGGATGTATGTAATGAGAAAGATCAGATGAGAAGCAAGCTTAATTTGCATTACAAAATACACTCAACAACAACTACAGGGAAAGGCCTACAGGAATGGAAAGTGTATTTAGGAGATTAAATGTTTACAGCAAAGCACAGAGGCAACAGGCACACATTTCAGCCATGGCTACTGACCTACACAGGCTTTGCACATTTTGGGCGGGTCACCTGCCTAGCAACTCTTCAGCAACAACTACCCAAATACTGCAACCCTCATTAATGACAGTTTTGAGGGAAAAAAAAAGGAAAAAAAACCTGTTTTCTCTTCTTTAAGTCTACTGCGATCACTTTTGTTTTGCTGGTTTWGGTGATTAGACCAGCTGAAAAACTTTGGTCAGATAGAAAGATTTCAGTCCAAGATTAAAGACTGCGTGAGCRTTAAACACCTGCAGAGTAACCAATTTTAACMGTTTCCAAAACACTTTTCAATGACACTCAAGCAGCTCATTTCACACAATTAGCTACACATAGTCTTGCTTCAGCCATAACSTTGCTGTGTTGGAAATCAAGCCCTAGGCATAGTCCAGTCTCTTGCCTAGCAGACAATTTATTAACAGACCCAAAAGTTGCTAAGAGCTGCCTACCTTGAAAGCCAAGCTGATATCTTCAGCACTGTGCACTAGAATATTATCTGAACAAGGTCCCCAGGCATTAACTGTACATGGAATCAAAAAGTCTCCAGGAAGGGATGCAGTTGGAATTTTGCCCAATCCACCAGCAACATCTCGACCAGGATCAAAGCGGTCTATTGTTAGCGTTATGCCTTCCCCATCTTCAAAATAAATAAACAAAGTTAGAGTCCAAGAGGAATAACTCAGGCTCCTTAAAGACAGTTTACTCAGCAAACCAATATCACCTGTCTACCTTATGTTTAGAATTACCTTCATTTACTGCCAGGGTCCCAAGTAAAAAACAGGAAAATGATTTCTTTTCATTCTGTTTAGCATGGCGATAYGCAAGCCGCAAGGTCTTCTCCACCAGAGATAACTTGGGGTTTCTAAGAGAAAGTTGAGAAAGTTCTAAGCAAGTTTATTAACAAATTCTTTTTAATGCTTGTTTTAAAAAAWTATTTTTTATATTGCAATGCATTTCATGGGGKTTTTTTTCCCCATCCTTAAAGAGAAAATATATAGAAAAAGCCAAAGCCGTAAACAAGATAAAGGTRAGAATTAACAAYRTATAAAATGTCAGTAGAATCCTGTGACCCCAAGCCACTGAACARTGTTACACTATGGAAAGGGAAACTCAAATCTTTCCAGTGAAAATCCCTAYATGYTTCCTTTTCCTTTGAGTCTTGTCAAACAACAGAATCAAAAGATAAAATGAGACTTTGCATCACACAATTCACAATTTATTTAAACCTTTAGCTTCCCCAAAAAGGTTGTTGATACCTGTAATAGGTAATGTGTGCACCAATGACATCTCCCATGGGGACTGGGTCCCAAAGTGCACACTTGGACAGCGGGAAACTGAAAGGGACCATCCTTCCAGGAACAAATCTGAGAAGAAGATCACAGAGATACAAAAAAAGGGATAAGGTACATCATTATATTAYAATGTTTAAAAGAAGGAATGAATGCATGACACCATAAGAAAAAAAAAAAAAAGAGGTTATATAAACATATTGTATTTACATACATATATTGTATGCAAACTTTTTTTTTTCCAAGTCCAGGTCAACAAAGCAGGAAGTTTGTCCTATTAAGTTGTCAGAGTTACAAAGTCAACACAAAACTTTTATTTTCTACCGGACAGTTTCTCTGTGGAACCTTGGAAGATATGTAGGCCAAAATACCAAGTTTGCAGATAAAACTCAAGGAAAAGCTGCTCTGGATATAGTTTAGAGTAGAAAACAGTTACCCGTAACAAGAAATTTCCATGTCTCACAAAAAATGATTTAGCAAATTTAACACTGGCTCAGCTTTCCAAACCCCTGTTTCAGTCTTTGTATTTCAAGTGAGCATTCAAATTTAAGCTTTAAAGAGTTCTGAAACATCTTGGTTTAACTCAAATAACATAGTGCAAAACTTGCAATCAGACCTCAAAGGGCCCTGAAGAAATTAGTATGCTATCACATCAACTTATTTACACCAGCARGATTAGATTTTTTTGAGGTGCCTAAACAWTGTAACATACAAAACAATCCACAGCCCATATAATTTGGCAAATACCTCAATACTTGTTAACGAATAAGCAAGAAGTTTCTTTGTCATTATCTCAAGCGTGAAGCTTTGCCAAGCAAAGGTGCTTCCTCTGCATTTGAAGCTGCCAGGAAAGAACTTTATTTTTAAGGCAGTCCTCTAAGGAACTCAGCCACCTCTCATGTTGCCAGCAGCAGTTAATTAACTCCCATTAAAAGCCAAATGCCCAAATAAGTCTCAAACATAAGTTTGTAAAAGAGGAATTTTTTAAAGCCCCACTGCTTCCACTTGACAAGCACGAAGCAGAAGCCCACCACTGCACCGCCCAAGGGTCTTTATACCCAGAGCCGCACTCGCAGAGGGGCACCGGGCGCCGTGTTCCCGGCGGGGCTGGGGGCGAGGCGGGCCCTCCCGGCGCCGAGCGGGTACCTCAGATCCAGGCCAGGCCGAACGGAGTCCGGGCAGAGCCGCAGCTCTGTCCCCTGTTCTTCTCCCTCTCCCCAGCGCGGGGCTCGGCCGGGCAGCGGCTCTGAGAGAGGAGCGGCAGCGGCCGTGAGGGAGGAGCGGCAGCGGCCGTGAGGGAGGAGCGGCAGCGTGAGCCCACACACCGACTCCAGCAGCGCCGCTCCCGCCGCGTCCCGCCCGCCCCGGCGCCTTCTGCCGCCCGGCCGGCCCCCGCTCCGCGCCGACCAATCAGAGCGCAGAGCCCGCCCCCTCCTCCCGCTTCGGTCCAATCAGCGCGCGGCGGGGTACGGCCGGCTCGACCAATCAGAGCGCTCCTCGGGGAAAACCAACCGCCAGCGCGCGCGCAGGGGGTTTAAAAATGCCAGCGGGCGGGGAGCGCGCATGCGCAGTGCGGCGATGCGGCGGCGTTGCCATAGCAGCRGGGGCGCCGCCACCGGGTCGGGCCGGGCCATATCGGGCCAGGCTGTGCCGGGAAGGGCTGTGCCGGGGCGAACAATGGACAGACACTCCCGGTCCCTCTGGAGCACCGTGCCGGCCTTGGCTTTCCCCGGCCGGGGTCTGGAGCAGTAAGCCCCGGCAGAACCGCCACCGCCAGCCCCGTTCCCACGTGCCCGCCCCGCCCCGCCCCCCGCCCCGCCCGGGACCCGGAAGCACTTTCCCTCCGCGGGGACAGCGCGGCGGCGGCGGTGCCACAGTCACAGCTCCGGTCACAGTCCCGGCCTCGGACCCCGCCGCTCCCTGCCTGCTCCTCGGCCGCCCCACGGCCGCCGCCCCGCCGCCGCTGTCCTGCTGCTGCAACGCCGCCGTCTCCTTCTCCTCATGAAGCCCGTCGTCGTCTTCGTCCTCGGCGGGCCCGGGGCGGGCAAGGGGACGCAGTGCGCTCGCATCGTGGAGGTGAGGTGSTGGGGGTGCAGGACTGCACGGCCTGGCGACCCACAGAGCCCCGGGAGTTGTAGGATCCCCCTGTGGGGTCCGTGAACCTCTTTGGGGTGGTCGCTTGGGCATCGTGTCCCGCTCCGCTCGGCGGCGGGACCCGTATCTACCTTTCGGTTTGGTCTCTTGTCGAGCCCCCATCCATTCCTCTCCCCTTCGAAGCGATAAATAAAAGTAACTGACCCACATCTCCCCMTTAGTGGGTGAACTGGTGGGGCAGCCCACACTCCAGCCTCGCCGATCCCCTTCCAGCCCCTGTCAGGCCGCCTCGCCTTTTCCCTTGTGCTGCCTTTTCCCTCAGCCCCGCGGGATCGCACCCCACTGCTGGTTCTGTCTGCGCTGACACCCACCCTGGGGACACCACTTTTCTCATCCACTTTAAGGACTTGGGGTCGGGAGGCTGTCCCAGTTTCGGCCGCTGTGCCTTGGCAGAGGGGCAGGACAGCGGCCCTGGAGAAGCTGCCGGCTGCCCGGGCGGTGCTGCCTTGTCAGGCCAGTCCTGCGGCCCGTCCCGGTGGGTGGCTCCGTACACGTCTGCATGGCCACGTAGGTGGCTGCGGGGCTGCCACCCGGATGCTCAGGCAGCCGGGGTTGTGGCCTGGGAGAGAGGAGGTGAGGTGTCTTACAGTGATTGGGAATACGTGGACTTCAAATGGATCAAGGTCCATGCCTTCTGAGACCAGTCCCATAAATGTTACAGCTGGTACAGCAGGCATTGCAGGGAGTTGGCTTTTTGACCCGGTGCCATCTCAGTAAGTTGTGGAAATAATATGTTAAAAATAGAACGATTTTTTTTTTGTGTGTGTGTGTGTGTGACAGAATATGATAGAGGTCAAAGGATATCCTGATCCCACAGATGGTTCACCTTGTTCTTTTTAAACAGCCTAAGACTGACAGGATAATTTGCCCAAACTTTCAGTTAATTATCAAATTTTCAGTTTTCCAAATRCATTTTCACTGCATTTGAGACAATAAATATCTAAGAAAGGACAGTGAATGATGCATGGTGTAGTACTATCCTTTTAAAAACCAAAAACCACAGGGGTAATTGCACTGTATCCAGGTGGATAATTACAGGAGTAGTTAAAGCTAATGCTTTCAAACGTGTGTATGTTGGATTTGAAACAGCTCTTTTATGTTTTATTTCCTTTTTTTTTTTTCCTGAGCAGTTGTATGTATTTTTCTTATTAAAAGTCATATAAGATCAAAGCTGAATACCCTCACTGRAAGAAATGGCTAAGAACTGTGGTGATGTCTGTGTTCCTGAAACTATTGGTGGGAAAGAACCCCAAAACTCCTGGAATGGACACATTGTGTGTGTCCTCTGTTCTGGTGGTGCTCTGGGAGTGCTGTTACAGTTTATCCACACTGCTGTTAAATCCTGGACCTCAGTGCTGTGTAACTAAGTTAAGTGAATTCGGTCCAGACTAAAAAATGCCGTTATGGTTTTTGTTCTGAAGGATTTAAACCTCAAATTACAGACTTGTATTCAAACCAGCATATTCATTAAATTAAATTGTGGGATGGAAAGTTCACAGTGCACATAAAGCCTTTTTGGTAAGGTCAAATTCATCTCCTGGCACGTAGCAAACAAATGAGCTTAAACTATAGGGAAACCTTGTAGGCTGTCATTAATGGCTTTCACCAAACCATTAGTGTAGCCTCCAGGCTGAAGTACCTTGTGTGGCTGCTGGCCTGTGTTTAGAAGGATAAATGCCTGGATAGGCTGGATAGGCTGATATAATTGGATAAAGACCACTTTATTAGTAGGAGTTCAAATGAGCCATTGCTACTCAAATTATATTTCCAGCTAGAAAGAAAAGAAGAAAAACTTTGCTTGTGCTGTATTTATTTTCTTCTCTAAGCCTGGAAAGGAAAATTCAAATTCAAATAAATGYAAATTTGCTTTAATTCTGCTAATCCTGTTCACTACTTGGAAAGAAGTTTCTTGAAGTCAGTAGGCTGACAGTAGAAAGCACTCAGACCTGCTGACTGCAAAGGACAGCCTTCTTGCTGGCTCAGACACCTCCATGAGGGTCACTGSCTAAACTGRGAGGCACAAARGGTATGAGGTGKTTTAARGAGCAGTTGGACCGGTACAAGTATRCTGGAAAACTTTAGAAAAAGGGCACAGGAACAGAGAAGTGTGGGTGAAACACAGCAGAGGTACTGGAGAGCAGCAGCTTTTCTAAGCACAAATCCTTGGCCTGGCCCCTGGCAGCCCCCAGAGAGCTCTGGTGCAGGCAAATGAGCAGCCTGTGTGCAGTCAATGCTGCCTTTACGTTGGAAGTGTATTTTTATTTGTATTTTAAACCCTGTTGGCAGTTTGCCACAGAGAAAAAGGGGCTGTAGCTGAGWAATAATAAACCTCATTCATCCTTGTTGTAAAAGGACTGAATAATATTAGTTTACATTTGGAATGAATCTGACCCAGTATCTTGCTGTAAATCTGAAGGTTGTGCTGAACAAAAAGTCAGTATGAGCTATAAATATGTCTCGGTTGCTATTCCTACTGGAGATTTGGGACAGAGCACATCACATGTGGAAGGAGTCTCATTTGGCTGAGGTGAGATCTTGTATGATTTTAGCATCAAACCATTTTTATTAAAAACCAGGGGTGTCTGTGTTTTGTAGAGTAAAGGGGRTATTATGTACTTAATACCTGGGAATGATTTCTTAAAGGAGAGTTGTAATTTTTTTGCTGACTCTGCTTTGCATTTCCAAAAAGGGAGATGGGTATCCCATGTTGTAGGTGAAATATGTATTTAAGTACTAGCCTAAATCATAACTGCTCAGTATGTATGTGTGCTGAAATCCCTGAATGTGGAGAAGGCATGTATTCATGCCAAATTYGGACRCAAATGGAGAAATTATTTGAGGGAAGAAGACCTAATAGCAAGTGGAAATGGGTATTGACACAGTGTAAGAAAGGGAACAGTGGGTAAATGATTAGGATTCTTTATCTCCACAGATAAGGTTGGATGAGACAGCTCAACCAGGCTGGTTTTCTCCGATACGGAGGGAAGGCTCAACTCCTGTATGTTCTACAGATGCACAGAATTGTCAGGGAAATGCAAATGCAGCAGAACTGCTGCTGTTCTGGAGCAGTTCCTCCCATTTAGAGAGGGATGAAGCAGAATTCCCTCTTAAGTTCTTATCCTCTCCTTTCCAGCTCTGCAGATTAACTCCTGAAACCTTCCACAGCTTTGTTAGGTGGAGCTTGCCATCATCTGGGACTGTTGCGTAGCTGTCATGTGAGGCAGAATATTTGAGCTATAGTTGAATGATGTCATTTGAATGCAGGTTCTTGCAATAACCTTCATGCTTTCCACAGTGTATCTTCTGTGACTGTGAGATAATGAAATGTGCTTTAGTGCTGACTTCTGAACTTTGCTTATAAAATCATTATGGTAAAGTCAAGGAAAAGAAAATGCATTTGGCAAATCTGCACAAAATATGCTTTCTTGTGCTTAAATTTTAAATCCTTATAACCTCTGCCTGAGGTGCAAAGCTCTTTTGTTGATGGGAAGAATAATAACTAAATCGCTTTTCTTTATTCCAAGTAAGATTTGAGTTGTATTTTTTTGTCTATTTGTTTTGGCAAGGTGATCTGTAGAGATTTGAGRTATGCAAGACATCACTCTGTGTGTACCTAAAATATAATGCACCTTTACCACAGCCCTATCCTGTATGTGGTTAAATCTAAAATTAATTCTACAAGGTGAGATACTGAGCCTTCTCGTTTTTTTGTAAGAGCATAAGTTAATATCCAAATGGAAAAAGCTGTTAAGTTGCTTTGGGATATATGATAAGGAGATGTCCTGGGGTAAAGGAAACAATGCAAAGAAGAACTCATTGTATCAGAAATGCTCCTCTCAAAGTAGCAGAGGATTTAGGTTTTGCTGTCATGTGTTAATTGTCTTCTAGAAGTCTGCTGAGAGACAGTGTTAACGTCCTTGAAATAAAAACAGGGTTTAAATGGTTTGCTTTAAACTCAACTTCAGAAATCTCTTTAATGAGTCAAGTGGTAGTATTCTACTTAGTCTCTCATAGTTGATTTTAGAATATAAATTTCTATTTTTGAACTTTAGGGCTTTATTTTTTTTTTTTTTTTTTTTTTTTTTTTTTTTTTTTTTTTTTTTTTTTTTTATTTTTTTTTTTTTAACATGATGTGTGTTTAAATCTGCCCCTTGAAGATTTATCCCTGAACGTTTCCGTTTTGCAGATCACTGGGCATTAAATTTTGGACTTCCCAGAATATACTGGGTGTCTTTTGAGTCAATGTTCCTGAAGTGCTGTGGTGCTGTTTGCCCCCTCTCCCTTGGTGGCACTGTCAGTGGGATCTCCATTGTGTGTTTTGGTTTGTTAATATGGGGGTTTTGTTTGTTTTTCTTTCCCCGAGACAAGAGCATATTTCAAACTAAGCCTTTTTTTTTTTTCATTTTTGTAGTGGAATAAGCAGACAGAAGTTCTATTACTGCATTATCCTCTGTACCCCAAAGATTTAGGTCCATGGGCTAATAGGACAGACAAAAGCTTTCTAGGTTAAAAAATCCCAAAGGCTGCAGGCTTTACAAGGTTCTTTTTTTAACCAGCTGTTGAATGGTGTGTGTGTGTAGCAAATTTTGGTTGTTTATTAAGGTTGCCCAAGATATGACAGGTCAGAWCCAGGGCAATAAAAGTTTGTATTTTATTTGTTTAAATCTTAAGCCCTGTGACTTTCATTTTCAAACTAACAATGATAAGCCAAGATTGGAGTCAAGGTCAAAGCAGTAATTTGTGCTTCTCTTGCTCCTTGGCTTCTGCTCTCTTAAGGAAGTCTCAAGCTGTGTGTTTAGTGGGGAGATATGTTGCTGGACCACACAAGGCTGAATCAGAAATAAACCCTGTGCCCCTGGGAAGGGTCTGTGTAAGGAGTCCCAGTGGCAGCTGCCGCACACCACTGCTCCTTCCTGCGATCTCTGATCCTTCCTGACTGCCGAGAGTGCTGGGGCAGACTGCGCCCGGTTCGAGCTGACACAGATGTGACTCATGGATTTCCAGTTCTGTTCATCTGTTTATTGTATTTACTGAAAACAAAGCGTGTTCTGTCTGCCGAGTGAAAGTTGCAAATCCTCGCTGACAGAAGGAAGCTGGAAGGGCTGGAGGACAGGGGAGGRAAGGCTGCAGTCTCGGGTTGGAATTTGGAGATGTGCAGCACACAGCTTGTGTGTCCCAGTGTGTCCTGCWGCGTGGGGACTGGTTAATCGGGCAAAGAGACAAACAGCAAGTGGTGTTCTGATCTGCTCTATCCACTGTTGCTGTGATGGGATCGTTGGAAACTTGAGCTTGCCTTTCCATTTCACTGGCTTCTTGTTTTGTTTTGGTTTGAGTTTTTAAATTATTTTTATGTTTTATTTTTTTAAAGCAAAAGAGGAAGATGTCTAGAGTGGTGCTGAAGACAGCACTTTCTCATTCACCACTGATTTTTGTAAATTATATTTGGAGAACCATAATTTTAAAAAAATGGTTTTGAAGATAATGAGAACTTGTGTAATAAGTAGATGTGGTGCTTGCATTACTCTTGCCAGTTTTACTCAAGACATTCAGGGCACAAAACTTGCTTTGATTTTAAGTGAGAGAAACCCTCAGCTAATGTTCTATATTGGAGCATATAATCATAATACCAGGAACTTGCASTACTTGTGTAATAATGAGAACTTGTGTTATAGTGACTTACTGATTTATTCTTTTTTTTCTTCTTCTAGATCACACCAGTCTGACAGCATATCAGCAAACATTATTTCTGAAATATATTTTAGAATATTTAGAATACATTACTTCCGTATTTTCTTTTTCCTTCTCTGTAATCTCAAAATCTCTYTGGATTTAAGGTGCTTGACATCCAAGTATTTGGAAATGCTTTTTTTACCTAATTTGTTTCAAGTCTTCCTTTCAGTCTGATATTATGTGTCTAGCAAGAACAGGGGCAACTGCTTTTTCATTGGCAATCACGGTCCTGCTCCCTTTTTGATTGCAAAGGATTGGTAGGAGTGGCAATGAGTCACATCCTGGGGATTGCATCAAGATGAGCTTGGCACTGCTGAAAGTCCTGCTGGCCCAAGGCAGACCTTGTCAAGGCGTGAGARTGCTTTGACCTGTGTTTTGTGTARTTAYATCACAGTCTCTTCTGCAAGCCCTTGGCGCTGCGATGATTTGCTGCAACTCAGGACACTTGCTGAGCGTTTATCTCGCCTAAAATGAAAGAAAACTTTGTGTCCTGAATGACTTGATTAAAACTGGCAAGGGTAGTGTGAGCACCACATCTCTGAAGCCTTCTGTGTGTGGAGCAGCAGCCAAGTCGTTCTCCTCCCTTGTTTGCATTGTTTAAACCGACGTGTTTTCTTTGGCTCTTGGCTCAGTACAGTTAACAAATAGATGTTTTGCCCCTGAAGGAGAGGTTTGTTTTTCTTATTGCCTGGTTAAGCCATTCTGAGAGTTAGTCTTGAATATAATTTATTATTATCTCAAACAAGTCTGTTTGTATAACAGCACTTTAAAACACTTCTGTCTTTTACTTTACAGTTCAGCCATAGAAAACTACTTTAGTTTGCTGTTGCAAAAGATGAAGAATTCAAAAAATTGTTGGACTCAATTTTGTTTTCATGCATGAAAAGGAAAATGCCAAGGAAAATTAAATGGTTTGGTAATCCTCTAAAACCTAAGGGATTATATTTTCCTCCTGTTTTCTCCTTTGTAGGAACCTGATGTTAAAAAAAATCATCATTCTTTAGCAAGAAGAACTACATGTTAATTTAGTATTCAGCAAAGTAGTGTTTCTTGCTTATAAGGAACGATTTATTTTGGTTTATGGCTTCTTTAGGTTATAAATATTTAGATTTGCAATTAGTTAGGCATATCCAAATGCAATGTACATTAAAGCAAGAGTAGAGTGAGCTTACAGAGGATGTCTGTGGAGCTTTTCCTTCACAGTTACTTACAGCAAAATCTTGCTTCTGTTTTTTGCCAACTGTGTACAGTTTTGGAGATTTAGGTAATTATATCCTTTCTTAAATTATGACTATGGCAGAACTAACTTTCCATGCTTTTGTGGGTGAAATTGGAAAGCAACTGAAATGTTTTAAAGTCACTTAGTGGGTTGTGTAATATTTCTGTTGTACTTAGTTCAGTAGCCAAGTTTTTAAATCCTAAGTTCACAGCCTCACGAAGTGTGTAGTCACATTATTATGCCTYTCAGACACCTTGACTGAAATTTGCTTTRGATGTTGCTGCAGCCAAACTGATAACCCTGAAGTTTTTTGCTGCTGCTTTTGTTTCATGTAAAAACTTTCAGATGAGGATGTATATATGTGCTCTGTTTTGAATGTATAGCTAGCTTARGCAATCACCAAGGAGTTGTCTTTATTGCCTGTTTCATGGACTGTATTTGGTCGTGGAGCGTGGTACACTTTGTTAGTTTTCTTGTGGTGTTAAATGAGCTGAGAAAATGATTATTTTGTGCTGTGACATTTCCTTTGCAACAATACATTTCTCTTTGGTAGGAATGTGTTTGTATGCTTGCACTAGGTATCTATTTACGATGATACATGCCAGAGAAATTCAAGCATAATAAATACTTTCCATCAGTATTTTTTATTAGTGACTATTTTAGTAACTTGAGGTGATAGAAAAGAGCAATGGTGTGTKCTGTTTTCCTGCACACTGCTATCAGATTGATAGATTTGAACCTGATCTCTCTGCTCTCTGTTGGCTGTTCATAGTGTGACAGAGGGTGGCACCAGTGTAGCTATTTACCTTCATCTGCCACRTCATCCTTAGGAGAAGTCACTGGTTTTCCCCAAGGGCTGGTCTCCGAGTTTATCATGGTCATCCCAAGGAAGGACATAGCAGGGAAGGGAGGACTATTTGTGCAAGTGCCATGTTATGTATKATTTCACCAAGGTAGGGGAGGAAGTTGATGCCAGAACCACAAATGAACGTAGGGATTTCTGACTTATCCTGTGCTTGGGACATTCCTCCAGCTCCAAAGGACCTTTTCTTTAAGTAGGTAATTAAACAAAATTCTTTGTTTATTCTTTTTTCATTTGTCATGTTTCCGAATGTAACAAAATTGCCTTTGGAAACTGTACACAAACACCGGCCCAAAATCCTGTTGAGCATTTTATCAAAGGATGTCCAGTCCTGGGCACCTCACTTCAAAAAGACATTGAGGTGCTGGAGTGTGTCCAGAAAAGGTAATGGAGCTGGGGAAGGGCCTGGAGAGTAAGTCCTATGAGCAGCTRCTGAGGGAGCTGGGGATGTTCAGCCTGAAGAAAAGAAAAAATTGGGGGAAACCTTGTCATTCACAACTCCCTGAAAGATAGGAGTCAGCCTCTTCTCCCAGCCAGTCAGCAATAGGACAAGATGGAATTGCCTCAGGCTGGGCTGGGAGAAGTTCAGGTTGGACACCAGAAAGAATTTCATCTCTGAAATGGTTGTCAAACACTGGCCCAGGGAGGTGGTGGAGTCACCATTTGTGGAAGCAYTCAAGGAACAACTACATGTGRCMCTTAGAGCTATGGTTTAGTTGCCTTGGTGGTGTTTGGTCAAAGGTGCTGTACCCAGTGATCTTGAAGGTCTTTTCTATCCTTAATGACTCTGTGATTCTTCCTGTGTGTGCTCTGTGCAGAGTGTGCWGTATTGTCAGATTGCACATTGAACATTGAACAGATCCTTCACTACTAGCAAGATGCTGTTCCCTGTGTTTTTCTGTTGCACTATAAAGATTAATAGGYCTGACACTGTTGATTGCTGTTAAGTTTGCACAAGTGCTCTAACTGAAGGGAGCCTGTTTTTGTTTTGCCTGCTGCAGAAATATGGCTACACACACCTATCTGCTGGTGACCTCCTCCGGGATGAGCGGAAAAGGCCGGGCTCCCAGTACGGAGARCTCATYGAGAACTACATCAAGGAGGGGGAAATCGTACCAGTTGAAATAACCATCAGCTTGCTGAAGAGGGTAAGGAAAGGGCTATTTCCTTGCAGGGTCACTCTTGCAGACCAAGCAACGAAGAGGTGGCTGTGTTCTCACAGAGCTGCCTTTCCTCCAGTGTGAGAGGTAGGAATGGGCAGACACGGAGGTGCTTCTRTCAGCAATCAGTTGTGTTTCTTTCTGACTGCTGGAGATCTGATGGCCTCTGATACCTGGGGATCTGTGAGAATGGTTATTTTTATTTCTTTTAATTTTCAGTACCTCTAGGAAAATCAGTTAAACTATTTCTTATTTCCTTGCACTAGCTTTTAGACCTCTTGGTCCGCTCTGCTGTGTTCAATTGGAGGGTAGAGGTCTTAAATTTAAAGGCACTAAGATTTGCAAGTTTTATCAAAATAGATAGTCAGGTGAAGGAAAAGAGYACCTCCTAATGTTCTTGTGAAAGGAAAAGCTTTATACTTTATCCTTATTGGATGGCCATGAAAACAATGAGTATCTCCTTTGAGACGAAAAAGGCTTCTGTTCATGGCACTAAATTTATATGGAGCTTTTCCTTTAGGATTAACTCTAGATCGGGGATGTTTTGATGTCTTATTGTGTAAAGACACTTCTCAGTATCTTGTAGAAAATCAGTTTTGAAGCTGGGATTGTGTTACGAGATTTTGAGCTTTTTGAAATAATTGATTCGGTTTGAACAATAGCTATGTTGGTGCATCAGTGAATGAACCAGCATGYATTGAAAGTGAAACAAAAGCACATTTTGTAAATCTGCAGTAATCCTAAAATAAGTACTTCTCAAYTTACCATATCAACATTTTGGTGGTTAATTAGTAAGTAGATAAATCAGTGTATGTACAGGAGAATGTGAATTGAATTATCTTTTATCAGGCTATGGATCAAACAATGGCTGCCAATTCCCAGAAGAACAAGTTTTTGATTGATGGATTTCCCAGGAATGAAGATAATCTTCAAGGCTGGAATAAGACTATGGATGGAAAGGCGGATGTTTCCTTTGTTCTCTTTTTCGATTGTGACAATGAGGTAATGAAGTGTCTAATGCTGTAACTTCCTTTCTTGCAATATTGTGGGGATCATTCAAGAACAATTAGACTCTGTCAGGTAGAATGGACTACTGTAAGAGTAGCAGGAAACCTTGGCCTGTGAGTTTGAAGAGTTTTTTGGCAACTTATTTTAACAGATGAAAAACTGCATGTTTATTAAAATAGACAGCTAATGACACTTGGTATAATCATAAGTGAATGAATTATATTGAGGAAGTACTCCAGGCAATTGCATTCTTAAAGAAAACTTACCAAAACTTTAAATAGATTTTGTTGATTTACAAAATTATTTGGTTACTTTTCAGAAACTATTTCTCTATTTACTCTTAGTAATTTGTTGTTTAGTCCAAAATTAACTTGGTACAATGTTTGCTTTAATTTTAAAGTGCAGCAGCAATCTTTATTTTCAAAGTTACTAGCTGTGCTGTAGGATAGTCAGCAATCAACATTTTATTCAGCAAGTCATTAAATTACAAGGGCTTTTTGACAGTGATGCATTAAATTMATTTAACAAGTGCCATGAGGTGCTGTCTTTTTAATATGTCAGTGCCCTTGAGCATAAAAACTGATACGAACATCCCAGCACCTTAAGCTGACGTTTTTCCCTTTTACCCCTTTCGCCAACTTCCTGAGGTTTTGGGGTTTTTTAACTTATTTGCAATTATTTTGCAAAGAACATGTGAGGAATTTTTCTGTTAAAACCTTGAATAAGATTAAATTAATTTTTTTGCCTGGTGAGGCATTAATTTTGGGATTCTGATTTTATTACTAGATCTAAAAATAGACAATGCCTAAATGATCTTTACCATATGTGTACTGTGTAGGAAAAAAGTAATTTGTAACCATTGTCCTTTTGCCTGAATAGGATAAATGTATTCATGGAGTGTGTATGTGTCAGCTTTGCTTATTTAACTATAGGTTTAAAAAACTTAGTTCATTGGGACACTTCTACGTGTTAGTTTTTCATTTTTTTTACTTAGATTTTGAAGTCTTCATTATAGCAATGTCAGGTAAGAACATTTCAACTGACAAAAACTTAGTATTGTCAGTTTGCCTTACAAAATTCTTGAGAGAACATACAGTGACTTTCTTTCAGTGCAGACATATGTTAATAGTCCAATTTGACATGCTGCTTTTCAGAAAGCCTGAACACATCCTTGAAAATCAGGTAGTTTTCTTTTAAAAATGTCTCAGGTTGGAGATCCAKTCAAGCCACAGAGCTTGATGCTGCTTTTATTTCCTCTGACCCCAATCCCATTTTAATAAACTGAAGTGTAAATCATCATCCTTCTTCCCTGAAAGAATCTAACTTCCTGTGTGAGTTCTGCTTACATCCACCAGAGCTGGATTATATTTTGTGACCAGACCAATTTAGATGTACAGGATTTTTGTGTGTTCCTGCTCTCAGGATGATGGCAGCTTGCATTCCTGGTTGTAGTCATCCATTTTATGTTTTTTTGTAGATATGCATTGGCCGCTGTCTTGAAAGAGGCAAGAGCAGTGGTAGGAGTGATGATAATCGGGAGAGCCTGGAAAAGAGGTACTATCTTCAAAACTTTTCAGTTCCCTTCTCTTTATAGTTTACTATGTAATGTGKTTTTTTTTCTCCCTGTGCTTTCTCTTAGAATTCATACATATCTGCAGTCTACTAAGCCTATCATAGATTTGTATGAGAGAATGGGAAAAGTCAGAAAAGTGGATGCCTCTAAATCTGTTGATGAAGTAAGTATACAAGCCACAAAACCATGGGGATGACAGTGGCAGAGTGCATATTTTTGGCATTTTTCTGGGATGTGTGTATGTGTGGTTAGTCTGCTAATTAAGCATTGATGTGTATTACTGAGGGAGGTTGTGGAGCTCTTGATTTGACTCTTGAAGGACAGAGTAAGATGTGAATAACTTTGGGAAATTGATTAGTTCTGCTTGAGTGCAAGTTGAACTAAACACATTTCCAGTGTTTCTGTGTTAMCAGTGTCTTGCCTTTTTAATTTTCATGAGCTTTTGCTCTTCTGAAGTAGTGTTGCTCTTCTGCCTGCTTCCCAGAATTGATGCCAATTTCACTGTTAAAGAATTATTGTGAATGTTCTAAAAAAAACTCTATATATTTTAAAAAATGCTTTCAAATACTGTTTATGTTGGTTTAACTTGAAGTAAGTGTTTGATGAATGCTTCATAAAATTCTTCTTTATCTTTTCAGGTTTTTGAAAAAGTTGTACAAATTTTCGACAAAGAAGGCTAATTCCCAGCTTGAAACGTCATTTAAACTTGTGCTTGAATCTTGCTTGAATAGCTGCTACTGCAGTCCACTCTTTGTAATTATTTTAAAAGATTTTTTATTTTTTTTTCACATATCTAATGATGATTGGAAAAGCAGTTGATTAGGAATGKATCTGCTTTTTAAATAGGAAATAATTTCTTGTGGCTATTGTATACAAGTTTCAGGGTTCTCCGCTAGTGCAGGTTCAGTTACTCACATGGCAGAATCACATCTTTCTGAAGAAACTTTATTYTTCCACAGTTGTGTGCCTGTCATGGGCAGTCCTTCTTCTTCCTTATTGCCATACACCTACTTGTTGTTTTTAAGGAACAACTGAACAGCAGCATTAAGCAATGAAGGATCCATGTACCCTTTCTTTGTTTTTTGGATGCTTGGACCAAATTTAGCAGGGTTGTTTTTTTTCCAAAGTATTATCTTGTCCAAAATTCCATTATATCCCCAAACCTGAATTCTTCAAGTCAAGCTACAGTTAGTATGAGAATTTGTTTTAGCAGTTCTTGAAAAACTATTAAATATGCTTTTCAGGAATAGACACATAAAGTACTTTATGGAAAGTGGTGCTTCCTTATGACTCTGGATGTAAACTGTCTTGTAAGTTCTTGGATGACGTGGCCTTGGATTCTACCTTGTTTTCATTTGCAAAAGATTAAGAACGTCGGTTTAGTATTTCAATACTCATTTATCCTAAATGATAGTTATGTTGTTAACTGCAGTRTGGTCTTCACAAGATGGCAAAGCTCTTAGATAATAAGATTAGTGAGTAAGCAAAATCTTCTAACAGTTCTGTCTTTTGTAACAAGTGGAAGGCTTTTTCTTTATTATTATTGAAATACTGTGTTACCAAATGCTTTAAGGTTTGTTACCTGGGGAAATATTTTTATGGTTAAACTAGTGAATTTGTTTCCCTAAAAATGTGTACTTTTAATAGCTGTTTGTTTGAGAAGTTTGTAAGTTATTGCACTTTTGTTACGATGTAGTCAGCTGAGGGGAAGAGAACTGCGGACAAAAGTTTCATTCCCTGAAACAGAGTCCTGCCTTCACTTGTTCTCTTGAATTAGCCAAGTGCAGTCAGCAGCAATAGCTGGGGTGAGCAGGGATCTGATTGAAGCAAACTGGTTGAAATGTTTGCACAGATGTGGTGCAATTTTGTCTTTTGTTTAAGCTTTTCTGTCCCCTGTATAGTAAGGATAGGTCTGGGGGGCCCAGCCATGCATTCCTTGCATGCCCTAAGCTTCCACTGAAGGCCTGAAGATGAGAGTTTTAACTAATTTTAGTGATAGAGTGGTTGTTCCTTCATTAACTGACGCTGTAATTGGTCTGTGTAATGCTAATTACACAGAACTGCAATTTGGAAATCTTGGTGTTCAGCTTTAGTAATGACTTTCTCTGTTTAGGAAAAGGTTTAAATTAAGCTTAGCTTTTAATTAGAATCAGATGTGTTGGTCCTCATCCTGCAGTCAGATCTGTATTTTCAGGAATTCTCATCTCGCCRAGGTTGTTGAGGCTGCTGGACTGAAACAGAGATGAGTACAGAAACAAGGGTAAACTGCAGTAGCTTTTCTACTCTGATAGGAGTTCAGGCAATAGACTGGCCACAAATAGCTGTTTACTACTGCAGGATATATGGACCATGACTGCTTTTGTGAGTGTGGGAGGCTGATGCTCACTCTTTATGAATTTCCTCTATAAAAAGAAAAGACAACTTGGAATTTAATTCTTACTCTATAAGAACGGTGACATGGATAGTATCCAACAAAACTGCRTGTTTTAACATGAAGGTTAGAATCAGTGTTTTTCCAAAAATATTTCAGACTGGATTCTTTAATCCAATTAGAGATATTTAATTCACTCTTGTTTCTAAATTATTGATTTTTACAAGTTCTGCTTAGAATAGAGTATCCCATTTTCTCTCATCATATAATTTTCTGTGTATTTAAGTGCTGAAACAAAAAAAAAAACAAAACCTTCTGGAGCAAGTTTTAGAAAAGCACCCAACAATATTTTGGCAATATTGAATTTGGAGTGGATTGTAATGTGTCTGTGCAAGGACTAGATTTTTTTGTCATTTTATTTATTAAAGATGCCATTAAATGTGTTACCACTTTTTTCAAGATGGACTTCTGATTGAAATAAAGATTAAAGGCAATATGCCAATGTGTTGTGTCCATTTAGCAGCAAAAGTGTATAAAGAATTTGAGGAGATCCAATAAACTTTGTTCTGTGGCTTAATGAATGCTTGGCTTACAGTTATCTGTCACAAGGGATGTTTTTCCATATATATCCATCTACATAAAGTGAGTATTTATTGGAGTTAGGTATTTCATGTAGCCACATGCACAGGTATGTGTATGAAAGTTCAGTTTTCACCATCAAAATAGAAATCCTGAATATCCTTTTAGGCACAGGATAAGACCAGGCCATTGCCTGGTGGAATTGGTACCTTTTCTTGATTATACAGGTTTATCAGAAGACTRTTCATGTAGTTGTGCAGTGATAATTCATTACGAACATGTGTGGAAGAAAAGGGACTTGAAGTAGTCTTGAAAACACAAACCTATTGTGCACCTGCTGTTGGAGACATATTTTGGCTGGATTTCTCACAATTCCTTGCTCAATCAGCAGCTGATCTCCTGAATGCTGTTGTGCTGGCTCTGCAGCACATGCCTACGTGCTGTACTCCAGACTGTTCTTAAAGGAGATTGGCACAGCATAATATTCTGTATAAAAGAAACTASGAGGTTGCCAGGCTTATTTTAAATAGCCCATTTTATATAAAGATTTGTTACAAAACAGGTTGTTTTGTTACATGTAGGTTCCTGGCAAACATGTTTAACTTAGAATCAGAGTCACTGGTGTTGGAAAATGTTTCTAAGATCGCGTCCAACCCTTCCAACTTGAAACTTTACTCTGGAAAGATTTGCAGAGCTGGTCTGAAAGGGGTGGGAAAAGCCAGGGATTTTTCAGCAGGGGTAGGTACCTTTTTGCTGGTAAAATTGCAGAGACCAAACTATTGCTGAAACCTTACCCTGAAGTTGTAGCATCTCCACAGGGATGGACTGAAAGAGTAAAGCTGCCCATCAAATTGGCACCTTTTGGGCAGAGATTTTGAGTTATCTCCCACTGTGGGAGTAGAGGCAGGCAGAAAAAAAAACCATAAGCATGCACTTGAGAATTGTCTCAGTGTAAGATATCCCTCACTTGCAACATTTGTCCTTAAGGAGAGTTGGCTCATGAGGGAGTTTGGAGGTCTTGTGAAAAATTCTGTGTCTTACGACAGTGGGGACATCTGTGCTGCCTGAACTGGGGAGAAGGGGAGAGTTAAACAGAAAAAACCCTCAGTTCAGACCAGAGCTGCCAGCTGTCATTACCGGTTGGCAGTTTCTGGCTGCCAGCACTTAGGAAAGTTGCAGCTTAGGGGATTACTTTCCTCCTCTGGTGTGAGGTTCAGTACCAGTTCGGTCCGTGTTGTGGCACAGATGTCTCTGAAGGCTACGATTGTGACAGCTCTGCTGGTCTTTGCTCCAGGGGGCAACAGTTGGCTCCTTGGCACAATCAAGTTGTTTTTTCCAGCCGTGGTGCAGCAGGACTTGGAGACCTGAGACTATTCCCTTGCCACAGTCCAAACATCCCAGGGTTAACAGCTGGTTATGAAAACTGCAAGACAATGTGAAGAGGATTCTCCTGATCAGGTAACAAAGGAGACAGTAAATATGAAATAATATAAGAATATTAATACTTGGTTTTGTAGATGCACACTCTTGATCTGYAGACCTTTATAAGCCTCCCAGTGGAGATAGGGGAGCATGGAAGAGTTTAATCTTTCATCTGTCTGCTATTTTTCRTGGATTACTTAGTTTAAGATGGTGGTTTTCAGCCTGTGTGTAGAGTAGAGCATTTCTGTTAGTAACAAAAGGCGTCTTTATTRAGTCTTCTAATCTGCTCAGCTGAGGTATGCTCTATCCTCTTTGCTTTCTGCCTTTTAATGCCTTTTCCTTACCTTTCTGAATTGCAGATGCTCTTTGGGATAGGGAAGGGGGTGCTCTTGCCAATCTCTACGTGTCTTGCTAAATAGAGAAAATCTTTAAACCTTCATCTGGAGCAATCTGAACCTGTTTCTGACATGAACTTGGTACATAAGCTGTAAAAAAAAAAACGACATAAAGCACATTGCTTCTTTTTTTTTTCTTTCTTCCAGCTACAGGAAATCTCTGTAGTACCTCTGCTCTTTTCTCCTATGTGAGTCAGATCAGCTGTGTCTGCCTTGCTTCAGCACAGTGCTTAGCAGCAGTTGCATGAGAAAACCTCAATCACTAGATGTTAAACCAGCAGTGACCAGTTACACATCAATGGAGGCAAGTGAGATGGCTSAGGAGGGGAGGGAAGATGCTTAGAGAAGCTCAGACAATTATGCTTCACTCTCAGATTTCAGCTTTGGATAAATACTGTTCCACAGGGCAGCGATGCTTGTGGATTCCAGCTATTTCATGATTGTGCTGTATGGAAATCAGTGCAGAAGCACTCCCTGCCTACAAGTTCCCCATCTCCCCTTGTTGACTCTGCCACCTTTATATCCAGGGGTTGTGGAAATAGGAATTTTTGATCAGGATAACACCATAGAAATTATGGGGTGAAGGCAATGTGAGCCTTGCATGTGAGGCATGAGATGCACAGTGTGTTTCACTTTGGGCTGTTTTGTCATCCTGGCTTGTAACTGCATTCAGACAGCAAAGTAGAAATTTTCTCTTTCCCCTCAAACATTTGGCAGAAAGTTTGGTTTTGTCTRAAGTGCTTCTTAAGCACTGTGTGAACTGTTCAGTCCTAAACTAAATGCCAGTTTGAGTTGTGCTTTTTCYATCCAATTTACAAATAGGAGAGTTTGGTTTAGTTTCTTGTAATAACTGCTGCAGCGAGACAACTCTTGGAAAATGCAAGGCACCATCCCAAAAGATATTATCTGCTTTACTCTGGAGGGCTTTTTAGCACAATGCTGTTTCTGTGTGGTAAGAAGTAGCAAAGAGTGCTCTGTGACTACCGAAGTGTGGTGGGGTGGGTGTGGTACATGAAAAGAGTATCTTGGACAACTTCAGCCTGCACTTCTRTTTAGTGCCATGAGGTATAAAAAGAGATGTGGGGATAGAATTAGATCAAACCTTAGGAGTAAAGCTGAATCTATCATGGAAATTTTCAGGGAYTACCAGCATCTATCAGGGTACCTGAAGGATGTAATATCTGATGGTCCTCTCTCCTCACTATTCATAAAGCAACTCTTTAGGTTTCTTTTCAGGGCATTACTACTGTTTTTTTCTTAACCAGAACCAGTTGAAGTTCCCAGCTATGGTCACCAAGCATGCTGAGGTCTGTATTTTGTTTTAACTCAAATACCTCTGTTCTTCTGAAGAACCCCTGCAGCTTCATTTGGATGTGATGGAAATCATCAGGGAGAGGATTGGCACAGTTAAGCTGCTGCTCCATCTCATGTTCCACACACAAACTTCTATGAGAGTGAGATACTTTCTGGGAGCTCTAGTGGCTTCCTTCTGTTTTGTCTTTCAGGCCATACATCCTGGATGCACAGGATTTCCCAATGTATRGCAGTATCTCCATACCCCAAGAGGGGAGGTGGTAGCTGGGCCATATGAAATTGTAGACAGGAGCCACTTTCTTTTCTGGATAATCAAAATGTCCATGGAAAAGAAACAGGGGTGATTTCACCGTGTTCTTTATAATGTAAAATTTTCTGTGGAAAGAAAGTGCATTTGATCACTTCATTGCAACAGCAAGGGCAGGGTTTTTAAGTGCTGTTCCTGAAGCAAGCATTGCTTTTGGCTTACTATGTGTGACTCCTTGTGAAGCTTCCCTGGCTTCTTGGATGCTGCTCTTGCCAAGGGAGAGCAGATTGCTTCCAGCAATAAACAWCCCACAAAATTATGTATGTTCTTTAAGAAAAGTACTAAGATTTTCTGCTAATTGCAAAAATACATAATGGATGCTTTCAGCATCTGTTATTTATTCTCTAACCAGCTTTCATCCAAAAGTAACCTTTAAACAAACATTAAGATTGAGGAGTGTAACTGTTTCAATGTGTCACACATGTCTGCTCCCYCCAGTTTAATGATGTTTGAAACGTGTGCTTAAAAGTTGACTTCTAGTAAGAAGCAGAAGTTGTTTATATCTTTAGCTCGGAGACATTCACAACACGGAAAAGGTGGTGCTCGGTGCCAGAGCTGATGGATGTCTCAATGCTTTTTTAGGAGCCCAAACCCAGCAGAGAGGGTTTTGCTCACACAATTGCTGCGATGCGCCACAAGGAGGGGTGCAAGGCTCGCAAAGAGCAGGATGCAGCTTGGAAGTGGCATTTATGGGTTGTACGCTACTTCCCGTATATTGAAAGACCTCATTTTTAGCTTAAAAGCCTGATTATTTTTAACAGTGTAATTTTTTTTAATCCACTTAAAGATTTTTTAATGAATTTTTTGTTGCACTGAGATTGATATGCTGTGTGGGTAATTTGACAACAGCCGATGTCATGCCTCCTCTTTTTATTTTTAGCAGTTTATTTAATTGTATCTAATGAGAACAACTAGATGGGTCCAACTTAATTATTTTGGCTGTTGTGTGCAACTACATTTGTGACAGCATGGACCATGGGGATCAAAAGGTAACTTTCCAAGATAATAATGAGTGAGAGCTTTCCACTAGTGAAACAGTTTGATRCCTGCTACCATGGCAGAGAAGCATTCCTGGTGTCTCTCCATCTCAGAATGCTCCATTAGTGAGGTCTGTCCTGGGCTGGCAGAGGGAGCTCTAAAAGTGAAGCTTCTGGGAAAAGCTGAGTGGTAAGAACCCGATACCTTTTCAWGGGTGCATTGCACCCAATTGCCTTCCACAGGAAATTTTTAGGGAGAACAGACCRTAGCAACACACTCAAAACCTTAATTGCTTTGTCTGTTGATTGATGTGTTTTGTCAAAATCCTTTAGTTGCCCTTCCATCCTATTATTCCTTCCAAACGACTCTGATGGAAAAGCATGGACTAGTTTACTCCTGCAGGCTTGGCTACCTGAGTGTCCTTCAGAAAGAACAAACCCATGCTTTCCCAAAAGGACATCAGGGTAGGGAAATGAAAAGAGAATGGGGTTGGCATCTTGGCTGGTGGAGAGCATAGAAGAGGAGTGTGGAGGTGCCAGCAGGGTTAGACTTTGTTTTGACAAAACTKTGTGCTGGGGTATGGCCA